ACTCACGTCATGTTGCGGACGGTGCGCCCGCGGTTCCAGAGGAGGCAGGCCGGGGCGGTGAGGGCGGAGGCGAGCAGGCAGAGGAGGCAATAGGAGCCGATCCGGAGGCGGAACCGGAGCCGGGGGCTGAGCGCCGCCGCCAGCAGCACCAGCGCCCCCGCGACGCCCCACCAGGGCAGCAGCCCCTCGGAAGGGGGGGACGCGGAGGAGGAGGAGGAGGAGGAAGGGTCCATGGTGCCCGCCTGCGGGAGGGGGAGGGGGTCCGCTGCCCGCGATCCTAAGGCAGGCTCCCGCGCCGGGAGAGCTGCTTCCGACGGCCAAGGAGGCGCGCAACCAGCCGTGCGTCTTTCTGTCCGTCCGTCCGTCAAGTCAAAATACAAAAGAGGGTGGTTGAGGGGAGGGAAGGAAAGAAAGAAGAGAGAGGGAGAGAGAGAGAGATCCGTGACACCCCCCCCGGGCCGCCGCCCCCGCAGCGTCTGTGCCCCCACGTGCAAAGACTAAACACCTGGGAATCTTCGCTACAGAGCAAGTTTGCAAGCGGGGAATTGCAAGCGGGGAATTAATTTCACTTCAAACGACCCAGAAATTTGCAGGGGTCTGGATTTTTTTGGGGGGGTGTTTAAGAATGCCTTTGCGCTCTGTAGAAAGAAGTCCCGGAGACCCCTTGAGGAGGATAGTTACACCTGGGCCTCCTTTTTTTGTCATTACAATGACACTTAAGGTGACTATAACTCCAGTCTGATTGGTTTGTAAGAGAAAGAATGAACACACCCCGCATTTCTTGACTTTCGTTGGCCTGAAATTACAGACTTGCCTATTCAGCTTTCTTTTCTGCATCCCTATTTTAACGACCCACCAAACAGATCAACAGCAAACAAACAACTCCCTCCAGTGGAAAGAGACACTCGGCCAGGAGGCGGGGCTGAATTCAAAGGCTGGAAGGAACAGATTGGTTAGTGCTGGGTAGATTGACAGACACCCCAGCCTGGAGAAGCCCCTCCCAGTCAAAGGAACTACAAGCAGAATGCAAGGTTGGAAATAAATCTCCCAAGAGAAACAGGTGTGTGTTGTTTGGCTTTGGGAGAACTGATCTTTTTTTAAATAAAAGTTTTAAATCTGTTTTTTTTAATCCTCTTAATTTTCAGATTTAAAAATCTGTCGTTGGCCATTTTAATTTGTAAACCAGATGGTATTAATTGATCAGTGGGTTGATTAACTAACAGCCGTTCCTGTCTTTCTTCAGAAGCAAAGTCAAGACCCGGCTATTCGGGTGAGCTTTCCCTCCTGTTGTATCTTAAAATTCACATTTTTACCATCTTGGGTTTAACTGTTTTTGAATTTGTGATGCCGCTCAGTGCAGACCTTTGGTCCAGATGGGTGGGGTAGAAATCCAATAAAATAAAATAAGTCGCTGATCGCACTTGATTTTTGTAACGACAAATGGAATCACTCGCATTGCGCCTGCCAAAAACTCATATTCTCAACGGGCCACAAAGGGGCCTGTTTTCTCTCCCTGTTGTAGCCAGGAAATACGGCTGCCAGGTTCGCCCTTTGGGTCTCTGACCTCCCCAGTGGGTCATAAAGCAACAGGTTGTGTCTGTTTTGGTTGCATCCTCTAGGGCCCACCTGTGGCACCGTCTAAGTCGAGACTGCTCTCCTTCCCCGCTAAAAAGAGGAAATCCAGAGACTTGGGTCTCTCTCTCTCTCTCTGTGTTTTTACCACCTCTCTTAAAGAGGATTGAGCTGCTAAGCTGCTTTAAAAGAGATGCAGAGGCAGCCGTTTATGCAGAAGGCAGAGGCGGCTGTGCTCCCCCCCCCCACGAATTCTGCCACACTCTGTTGGTGGCGGCCGGGGTGTGTGTGCTGGGTCAAGAGAAGTTTGGACTGGATCGATCCCTGGTTGGATCCAGCCTGCTGTGTTTCTGTTTTTCTCTCTCTCAGGGTGGCAACGCCTTGTGCAAGTGTTTGCTTTGAGTTCTAACAACCTCTTCTGGAAATGCTGCAAGACTCAGCTTTAAAAAAAAAGAGGTTTGAAAAGGTGGTGTGTCATCAGAGGCATCTCTTTTTCAACACCGTGTACTCCGTCGAGCAGAGGAGCCCTGAAGGTTTTTCTGGCATGGCTGCCTCTCGCTGATCTGAAGGAGAAAGGTCGCCCCTTCCTGGCAGGCGGAAGACTCGCACGAGGAGCCCTGGAGGGCTCAGAGTCGGCCACCTCTTCCTGGGTCGCCTCCACGCCTCTGAGAGTGATTTTGGAAGGTCTTTTGCCCTGGGCCGGGCTCTTGATCCTGGCCCCGGAAGGCCAGCTGGGGCGCCCGAGGGACCATCCGCCCACTCCTGCCTGCCCTTAGCCTCCTTCTGGGGTCGGCCCGGATCCGTTTTTCAAACCTTCAGCAGATGTCAGTGGAGACGGAAGAGGTTGGGGGGGAGCGGTGAGCCCGGGCCCATCCAGGAGGGGAGAGGATGATGGTGTTTGAAGGGGGACTTGGAGGCCATCAAGTCCAGCCCGCTGGCCCTTTCGCAACTTGGCCCATTTGGAAATGAGCATCTGCAGGAGTAAAACGCCCACCGGGCCGATCTCTTTGCAGGCCAGTCCTTCCCTCCCAACAAATGGCAGCATTCAAGCCTTAGGGGAGGCAAAATTAATTTAGTCAGGATGATGCTTCTCCAGAGAGTCTCCGGCGAGCCACAGACGGCGGCGAGGGAGCTCCTCTGGGGCCCAGATTCGATTTTCTCTTCTCCCAGGGCTGTGGAGTTGGGCCAAGAAAGAGGCAGGACGGCGATGGAATTACACAGAGCAGAGCCCGGCTGTTTTCACTTGGGTTCAGGCGCACGGCTGTCCCTCTCCTTTGCCGGAATATAATATCATCCTCTTACCACCAGGGTCAAGTCGGACAGTGACTCCACTCCATTCCCCTAAAAATAGGGACTAGAGATGGGCATGAACCGGTTCGTCAAGGCGGCAGCGGGGGGGGGCAAGCAAGCCAGGCCTAGTGAGTGCCTGAGTGAGCCAGCGGAGGGGAGCAGCACCACCTCCCCGTGCTGCCGCCTTGACGAACTGGGACGAACCGGTTCGTGCCCATCTCTAATAGGCACAGGCTCGGGACCTGGTACCAAACATTCAGAGTCGGACCTGGGGCCAAGATGCAAAGACTTGCCACCATCCCTGCTTACCCTAGCATGTCAATTTTAATAACGGCAATTATTGGGGCGGGGGGGGGAAGAGTCCTTCTCTTGAGCATGAAGTGCCATCTAGTGGATCTACTGGGAACTCCCCTCTGATGAGCCCTTCCTAGACTTGGGAGTAGATGGGGGGAAATATGGAACTACAGAACAAGTGTACAGAGCTGGCCAACTCATAATTGGTCAATAGTAGACCATTATTTTTGTGGCACTCTGTTCTGGAAGATGAGGGTCCCGTGGCCCCTCAAGTCTTGTCTCTCCCCCCCCCCCAGGCTGAACAAAACAGCCAGCCTCTCCTTGGTTTGTCAGACGGCTTCAGACCTTCCGATCTCCTCTGGACATGATCCACCCTCTGAGGGTCCTTCTTGAAGGACTGCGCCCAGAACAGGACAAGGATCCGGAATACGGAAGAGGGACCAAGCCTTCGGAGTGGGACTTGGGCGTTGACTGAGGATGACTCGCTTCAGATCTCCACTCAAGGATAAGGATGATGGCTTGCCTTTCGACAAGCTACCCTCTCTCAGCGGAAGCACTGAGGGATGGGTGAAGAATCACAGAGTCGGAAGGGGACCTCGAAGGCCATCCAGTCCAACCCTTTCTCTGCTCAAGGCAGGGGTCCCAATCCAAGCAGATCGGAACGAGGGTGGTCCAGTTTTCTCCAGGGTGGGAGCCCCCACCACCTCCCGAGGTCCTGGGTTCCATCATCATACTGCTCTAGCAGTGAAGAAGTTTTTCCTGATATTCAGCCTAACCCTGGCTTCCTGCCGCTTGAGCCCATTATGACGTGCCCCGCCCTCTGGGATGATGGAGGACAGATCCTGCCCCTTCCTCTGGAGGACATGCTTTGGAGGTCTTTGACAAGCGCTCTCCTCTCTTCCGTCTGCCTTCATTTTCTCAAGGCCAAGCAGGCCCAGTTCTTTCCCTCTTCGAAGACAAATCCTGAGTTTTTCTGGAGAAAATAAAGTGTAGCCACAGGCGGATAAACGACTCCGGGGGAGGGGGTGTCATTGAGCCTGAAGTCCGGCCAGTGCAGGAAAACCCATGTAGCCACGGGCGGATAAACGACTCCCGGAGGGGGGGGGTCATTGAGCCTGTGCAGGAAAACCCACGGTCAGAACATCCCAGACCGAGGAGCCCCCCCAACTCCTCTCTCTCTCCGATGTGGCCGCCCTCTGCACGCGCCCAGAGGCCCCTTCGTCCTGTCCATGGGCAGGCGGGCAGGGCTGCGCTCCGGGGCGGGCGGATAAACGACTCCCGGAGGGGGGGGGTCATTGAGCCTGTGCAGGAAAACCCACGGTCAGAACATCCCAGACCGAGGAGCCCCCCCAACTCCTCTCTCTCTCCGATGTGGCCGCCCTCTGCACGCGCCCAGAGGCCCCTTCGTCCTGTCCATGGGCAGGCGGGCAGGGCTGCGCTCCGGGGC